CCACTCCAAGAAGACCACTATCAAGTTTGAGCTCAATTATCTCTATTTTTATAATACATATCAAAATGAGCCATGTAGATAATATTATGATAAACATTTTATCGCATTACAAGTTGTTGTTATCTTTTATAGAAATTGAGATAATTGAGCTTAAAAATCAAGTATGCAACAGACTACGGTGACTGCAAAAATTCTGATGCCAATTATAGATCAAAGGTTTTGGGGTACTCTAACTAGGGAATGGTCAGAATTTATCTCGCGATCGGGAGATACAAATGAATCCACTGAAAAGAAGGCTGTTCCCTGATTCCAGAACAGTTTTCAAATTCTGCTAAACGGCCCGGAGAGCCAAGATATTTGTGCTTCCCTAGAAATTGTGATACTTTGAATATGAAAATGACGTACGTTCTTAGTTCGGATAATTGGATTTTTTCCTATTTTTGGTTCAAAACTAGAGGCTTATAAGAAACCTCATAAATATTTCTGCCAATGAGATTATTACGCTTTTCTGAATATTGCTGCCAAAGTATTTTCAGAAATAGAAGAAAAAACTAACGCTTCCGAGTTGTCGGCGTCTGAAGGAAAGAATCAGAGCAACGACGACGAGGTCGGTAATATTCATTTCGGCAAGCTCGCCGAGTCTTCGCAACTCTTCTCCTTTGATTTCGAGGGCTTTTGTTACTTCGTCGGTCTGGAATTTTCGAAAAAAGTGTTAAAACAGAACTCCTGGAACATACAGCACGAAGAATATCATCAGGATGGTCGCTAGAGGTGGCACGTTGTGTTAAGTCAGTCTTCGAATCGGCAATCAGTTCGTTGGCGGCAGTCAGATAATGGCGTCGGTGAACCATTAATTCCCGAAGCTTGTCTTTCTCATGAATCAGCATATTCAATCTGAAAATGTGCATATAACAGAATTATGAACTCTGTTTATCCTCTTACTTTTCATTCAATCGATCAAATTCAAGTTGGAAGAAACTTCCATGAATGCTGGCAAGTTCGGTTCGCAACTGATTTGCATCTTGAGTCCATTCCTCGTCGAGACGAACAATTAGGTTGTTGATCTCAGACTGTACTTGATCAATCTGGAAAATTTTCTCGTTTTTCTCCAATTTTTTCCCCTTAAAATTTCTTTTTTTTCAATTTTCCCTCCTCGTCATGTTTTTTGTTCATATTCTATTTGCGTTCTTCTCTCTGCCCTTTGCAACCCACTCGTTGTGATAAAACGACGGGTAATATGATAAATTGCCGATTTTTGAGAATGTGACAAGGAGAGAGAGATAGAAAAAGAGTGGCGGCAAGTTGAAGAGAAAAATTAAAAAGAGAGGAACCGAATGTTGTTTCGGTTGATTTACAAAGAAAATTGATGACTAACCGCAGATTATTTTAGACCATTTTAGGTTCTTTTCAAATCAGAAAACATTGGTTAGAGAACAGTTAATCTCTAGGGAACGGAATCCGAGCTACAGTAACTACCGTGTTCCCTCTAATAGAAGCCAACCCAAACCGTCAACTTTGAGCTCAATTATCTATTTTCCTGTAAAATATACCAAAAGTTGTCAACTGATAAAATGTTGGCGATTTCATGAAAAATAATTTATTAGTTGACAAAATTTTGATATCTTTCAAGGGAATCGAGATAATAGAGCTTGAATTTGATGGTTTGGGTGGGCTTCTATTGGAGGAAATACAGTATTTTTGCCGTATTTTGCTAATTAATTATAGATTCTTTGGGATATTTTATTCAAATGTATTCATTTTCTCCTATTCATTAAAACTCCATTTTTCCCTCGTATCATCATATTCAAACACAAAATTGGAGCCACAATGGTTCTGTACACAAATAATTACCATTCGAATGTCATTAACAATGGCATTTTTATCATCTTGCCGACCCTACTTTTTTTTCTCTTTCCTTGTAATTTGTTGCATTAGTTGAACATATGAAACACAAACAACTGATAAAGGAATCCCCCGCTTTTTTCTCCTGAACTGGGGTCTTATTACTTTGAAATAGGTCACACATGACCCCTTTGAATTGTGTCTTTTATTCTGTAGAGTTCTGTTGGCAGGATGAGGATGCTCTCGTCAGAGAGATTGTTTCAACAATTATAAGAATTTTGGAACGTAACGAAAAAATGTTAAATAGACGTTTTTGAAAAGCTTTCAGATATTATGTCTGCCTTGCAGTTTTTTGCAGGATTTCGCAAATGGAAACGAAATATAATACCCTCTAAAAACTGAGAAATCGTGGGCGGTGAGACAAAAAAAAGGATAAAGGATTTTTGAACTTTTCAGAAAGAAGTTTTATTTGTTTTCCACTTTTTTCTGTCAATTAAACTCATTTTATGAGGAGAGGACAACTTGATTCCCTTCTTCCTTTCTTCCATTTTGCAATTTTGTCTTTTCTACAGTAATCCCTATTGCAAACAAAATTTTCATCATTTTGGTGTTGCTGCTGAGCATTATCATCACTAACCTGCGAAATATTAATAGCGTTCCATTTGGTATTCTGTGATCGCAATATTTTGACGGCATCGCAGAAGTTTTGAAGCCGTCGAAACAGCTCCATCTTGGTTCGGAGCACGTGAAGCGTGTAGATGTATCGCTCGTCAACTGCCGATGATAATTTAGCGACCGACTCACGGCCAACCTCCTAAATTGAACAAAGTTAAAGATTTGGTGATTGATTAAGGGAGTTAATGGATGGGATGGGGAGCTGGAAAGAATAGTATCGAGATGTTTATCAACTGAAAAAATAGGTGAAAAAGAAGATAATCGAGAAATGAAGCAAATGGAAGAACAGTTACCGTAAAACATGTAATAGAAGGGCCCTCACACTGTCAAGTTTTAGCTAATTTTTCATGTCAAAATTTGTCAACTAAATAATTTATCAGTTGACAACTTTTTCATATCTTTGCCAGGAGCTGAGATAAATTGGGTCAAAGTTAAAAGTTAGGCAGCCCAGCCCTTCTATTGCAGGTTTTACGGCCTACCAGAGTCGAAATTCTGATATTCGGAGTTAGGAACCAAATAGGGAATTTAAAAAATGGCTTGAGAGTTGTTAGAGCTGGGAAATTTCAGAATGAAGCAGGAGGAAAAGGTTGTTTGGAACATGTTGATTTTCTAGTTGAAAAAGAGTTTCTAGTTGAAAGAAAGTAGCGAGTGAACAAATAAGAGGTTTCAATTGAGGACCCCATTCACCGATCAATACGATGAACCCGGTCTCCTCTCTTTTTTCGGAATATAAATCGAACAACACTCGCCTTTTATGGGATACAAAAGGAGTTTTGAATACCTCGAAATGGGAGAGAGAGAGGAAAAGAATGAAAAGTGATTGTTTGTGGGAGGCTTGCAATATGTTTCAATATCAGTACGTGCACACTGAGCGGTGGATGACGAAGGGTGTGCACAATTGAGAGGAGCACAACTAGAGACATGTACTGAATCAATTGAAGGGGAGAAAAAACGAAAAGAAGAAGAAGAACACAGGCATTAACAAACAGAATTTCGGAGAAAAAAAAGAGATGTTGGGGAGGAGGAGAAGGGAAAATTGAACATGATTTTGATAAAGCAGACTGTTTGGTTGGCAGGAAAAACGAGGAGGAATTGAATTGAAAATAGGTAAGCGACCGTGAAGAAAAGGGCAAAATGGAGGCGAGAATTTAATTGGAAGACGACGATGACGAGAGGATCAAGAATCGTGTTCGAGAGGATGGCTACTTTTTCTTTTTTTTCCAACAATTCTCAGGTAAAAACACAAAAGGAATGGTTTCCGGTTTCTTTATCGTACCAAGAGAAGTTTTCCGAAAACTATCAAAAATGGAAAAACTGTATCACATGGCAGAGAAATGGGAAAAACGGTAAATTTTCAAAAAGAAGGAGTTTGAACGCATCTGTGTTACTCTGTATGTTTGTATTCCAAAAAACAATGTATTTATTAATATGGTACAAAAACATCGGAGTTGTGGAAGAGAAATGCCTGTGGCCGTGGTCGAAGGTCCCTCAACGACAACTACAGTAATCAAAAATATTGATAACTACTTTCTCAATTTTCGTGCGTTTTCAGTAAACTTTTTCGCTATCAAAATTATAATTTTCCGATTTTTTAAAGGAAAAATCACAAAAAACTCTACGAAAAACGAGAAAATAAATTCGGAAAATAAAAATACTTTTAGGTTACGGTAGTTGTTGTTTCCGGACCTTCGAGCACGGCCTCTGGAGTTTCTCTTCCATAACTCTGATTTTCTTAAACCTGAATAATATTAAATTTGAGTTTATTTTTTCTCTCGAAATTCTTTTGATTTTTTTACAAATCGTTGGGAGTTATGTTGAAAAGAATTAAATCTAGCAGACCCCACAACTATCCTTCCAAGGTATCGAAAACTTTCGTTTTTAATGTAAGTTCTCGTCTTTGTCTACTAATTTGTAGAAAAAAAAAAGAAAATTCGGAATTCCGTTAGAATCGATCGAACACACACGGCAACAATGACCACAAATTATTGTCTCCTCATGTGAAACATTCCACTCACTCCGTATAGCTGACGAGATCAGATTAGCGGAAACCTTTTGAAATTCTTTCTAGGTCGTTTTGTAAAATGAAATTACTACTTGCAGTTACAGTTCGAAATGAGAGGTAACAAACATCTCGTAATGAGGTAGCCTTTGATCTAATAGGAGAAAGTCACAGCTGAGAGAACAATAGAGAACATATGGTTCAAAAAAAGAAGGATTTTAAGAAATAGAGATGAAGAAATAAACAAATGAAAATAAGTATTGGCTCCTGTGTGTTGATTCGGCTTCAATAGTTTTGTTGACATTGTTCAATTCAAAAAAAGTTCGCACTTTTTTGGAGAAAAGATACATGCAACACACTGGCAATACATAGAGATAGAAAAGAGTGAAATAACAGGAAGGACTGCCCCTCCGACAGGCACACGGGAAGAGGCGACAACCCCCACGGGCGGTTGATAGATATCAGGTTGATATGTTGAGATGAAGAGCCTTAGAGAACGAAAGATGAGAGGAAAATCGAGAGGATAAGAAAGAAAGTGTAATGAGCGGAAAATGACTATACCCTCACCTCAAGAAACTCGATGGCATCTGGACAGTCTTGTTCGTTACTCAACTCCAGGTTCTGAAGATGTCGATGGACAGATGTCTCGCTTGTTGTTGCCAACTGTTCGAGAGATTCCCGAAGTGTTCCTCCGAGTTCACTATGTTTGATTTCATAAGATCGTTCCTTCAGAATCCAAATAGTTTGGATGACGGTAACATCCAGTCGAGTCTGAATGGTTTGAGAGAGAACTTCCACTTGTTGCATCATCTCGTGCCAAGACTCAAACTCTGAAAGTTTCTGATTCCATGTAGCACGAAGTTCGTCAATTTCTAAGCTTTGCCATCCTTCAATGATACGATCGCACTCTTCCATATCTCGCATTGATTCGCGGATTTCATCCTCATTGTGCTCCCGATGGATCAGAATTTGTCTTTTTCTTGCGATAATTTCTCGAACATATTCTTCGCTCAACACGTTTTCGGTTAGGTTCACCGGTACCTGGAAAAGATCTCTCTGTATTTCATGTTTCATGAATCCATTTTCCCATTTCTACCGTAATAATTTATCGTGGGATTACTGTAGATCTCCCTTTCCTTTATAACTTACCTGATTATACTCGTCATAGACAAACGCGTAACAAGAGAGATCAACAAAACTGGCGTATTCGCCAGCCTGAAGCCCGTAAATAATTGTGCCCATATCTCGTCGAATCATGTTCCGTTCCGCGGTGTCCACCTGAATTTTCATAAGTTTCCTGACCTATATTTCATAACTCTGTGTCTTCTATGATACATGATGCTCTTTTTCTTGCTCTTGCTCTTGCTCTGTCAGGTGTCCATGTGCCAACTGTGTATTTCCCGTGTTCATTTCATCAACTTTGATGTATTATGTTTTCGAATTCCTATCACTTTTCCCAGGTTCTCTTTCGTCTTCGCCACAAAGATTTGAAAGCGAAAAACGAAAAAAAAGCAAATTTCAAAATCTTTTTTTCTCGGCGCGAAAAAGTTCACTAATCATTTGGGGGTGTCCAATTACTTTTTTACACTAGAGATGCGAAAACGTCGACAACAGTTGGAAAAGCATCTACAGGAGGTAGTTGAACAAGACGAGAAGTAGAAGACCCCGGGGCAGAAGACAATTACGCGCGCATCGAAAAAAAAGAGCGAGATGACCTTGGATCGAAATGCAAACAGTTTTGATAAACATTCAAGTGGTTGAATCGTTTTCTCTGTTTGTACATAAATACACAAAACATCCAAATTATCTTATTTTCTGATATAAAAACGGACACTCATTCATCAATCGGGTTCCGAGAGGCGAGTGACAACTTTGGGGGGGGGGGGGAAGAGAAAGATGGATTGATGATCTGATAGGTGATAAATGGCAAAGGACATCTTTATGTTGCATAGGGTAAATTGGTGGGAGAGAAATTCATTATATGGAGTTTTCAAATTTTGAATTCGGGGATACGGTGAGGTAAATGGTAACTTGGACTTTGAATTCTGTGTAAGGCGATCCCGAGAATTTCAGCAAGAAGAAATACCGTAAAATCTATATTAGAAGAGCCCCTTTCAAAATTTTGTTGTTTCAATTTAAACATTCCTTTCAGTGAAAATTTTTGAGACATTCCTAAATTTCCCCAAAATTTATTGGAATGCTCTTTTTTGTTCAAAAACTTTCTCGAAAATTGTTAGTTTTTCATGAATTCTGAACAAAAATTACACCGGAAAAATAAAACAGCCATAATAGAAGGGCTCTCCGAAAGTACCTTGGAAGCAATAGAATGGCCAGCCCTTCTCATACAGGGTTTACGGTAACTAAAAGTGTTCAAATCCATCTATTTTTAGATGTTTTTGAAATAGGTCTCAATCCAACCCACGTGGTTTGATAATCAAATCAGTCAGTTCTACCGTAATCCTTCTAAACTTATCATGTTCTTGTGTTAAAATAATTTCAACGCTTATCACATTCTCTGTGAGTCACACGAACATATCTTCTTCCACTGTTCAAGAACCATTTGTATCAAAACCTTAACATTTCAATCTAGTTGATAAAGAATGTGTCACATCGAATCAGGTAACAACCTCTCCTTTTGACCCTCGCCGCACATTTTTCCTTCTGTTTTTTTCTCTTTTCTTGTTCTTCCTCTGTGTCAGTTTTTGCCACCGAAAAAAACCCATAAAAACTGTTGTTTACGCCTTTTCTTCACACACAAAAAAACTGAAAGCGAGAAACGGCCTCTGAACCAATTCGATTTCTTCTTTCTTCTTCTCATTGAGAGGAACGTTGATCTCATCTTTTTGAGAAAGAGATCTTCAGAATCACGTTTGCAGAGCAAGAGCAAGAAAAAAAAACCAAGTGTTTTGCTGTTGTCTTCACTCACCTGATCCCGACTGTGTTTATCATAAAGTTCACTGAGTCGTTCCAACTCGACAAGCTTATCTCGAATGCTTCGGAATGCTTCAACCCGATACTCCAGTGGTGCCCGTTCTGCAGAATCAGCATCTCGTTGGATTCGATCTCGCAGTTGCATTTCAACTTTCAGCAACTCATCGGATGCTTGCCAACTGTATGAAATCTTTGATGCTTGTTCAGATGTCGACGGTTCCAATTCGACAACTAGGCGACCACCAATTTTGATTGTCGTCTAAAAAAAATTGTTTTCATAGATACAAATTTTGATATGTGAACAAACATATCAGGTTTTTTTTGGTTTACTGTAATGAAATAAATTCTTAAAAACGTACTTTGTGAAGCTTCTTGAAAGAATTTGTTAGCACATCCAATCTTTGATTATTAGATAAACGTGCAGAAGCTCCCAATTTTGGAGCCAACTGATCAGCTCCAGAAGTGATAAAAGCCAGCGCTTGCTCGTCTTCAGGAGTTGGTGCGATTCCATTTCGACGTCTCTCCTCAACAGTCTCCTCTAACTGGCTAACATGCGTCTCCCATTCGACCCATTCGATTTTCAATAGTTTCAGCTCAATCCATAGCGATTCGAATCGTTTTAGTGTTTCGGCTGTTCTCTCGTTCGACGTCTTCAGTATTGATTCTTTGTCTAGCTTACTGCCTGAAAAATTTGAAATTAAAAAATTCAGTTATCTTGATATTGGTGAAATTCAGAAAGGTAGAAATTCGAATATCCTGTAAATTCGGTAATCCTTAAATTCCAGAACTTTAGAACTTCAGAGACTCGATGATTCAAATTTTACGGTTCGAAATTTCAAAATTCAGTGATCCAGAATTCAAAATTTTGGGAAATTCGAACATTCAGAAATTTTGGGGACCCGGAAATTGGGAATTTCTGAAATTAGAACTTAAAGTGTCAGATATTATACAATAAGCAGAAACCAGAAGGTTGATCTCCCGACTGGTTTCAAATTAATTTCAGATTGTGAAAAATAGATTTACTCACTATTGTCGTTGTTCATTGTCAGAGTTAGTTTATTAATGTAACCAGCACATTTGGCTTGTGGGTTTTCGGCGTTCAACTGTGTGTATTCCTTTATCCAACGGAGGAGCAAAGTTACACTATCCGCCGTTCTGAAATTGATAGAATATTGTATTTTTTAAAACATTCCTGAAATTTCGAACAAACCTCCAAAGAATGATTTTCTCATCAATGTGTTGCAGATATTGCAGGAGAATATAGTGTGTGATCAAAATGCGCAAAGTTGAAATGCGCGGTTCATTCTCCTCTTCGATCTGTGCGTATCTTGCTCTCAATGGTTCCGAGAATTCTGGAGCAACTGGACGTCCTCCGAGACCTCCGTGCTTGACCGCTTCCTCGAATTCGTCTCGTCGTTTTGGTAGATCTTCCAGATACTTTTGATGCTCACTGATCAATTTTTGAAGCATTCCAACTGTTTTCTTGGCATCGTTTGCATCAAGATCCAAAGGTCTTGACAGGATATGTTCTGCTCCGGCGAGCCACGTGGCATGTGATGCGAAAGGTTCTGGAAGTTCTCGTTCTGAACGACGAGCATACTTTTCGAGAGTTTCCCGAATGCAATCCCATTTCTTTTCGATTTCAACCAACTCCTCCACATCATAGTTTACTTTCGTGACGATGATTGTATTGAATAGTGGACGATGTTCTATGAATTCTCTGCGAATTCTAGAAACTTCTTGTGAATTGAGATCGTGTCTTGTGCATAGAAGATATGTTGCCTCGAGCCAAGTCAGGAACATCGCATGTTGTTCTCGTCCCTGCATTGGTGATCTTTCTCCAAACATTCTGACAAATTGGGAGACATAAGTGATAACTGATCTTTTATCTGGTCTCTCAATCATCATATCTTCAACAGCCAGAAGACGTCGTATTCCAAGATGTTGATGAGCTAGATTGAATGCCAATTCGAGATTGTCTCGTGGATTCGCATTCGTAACTTCTCTCATACTGATGACATCTGGACGCCAACGAGATACGAGAGCACAGAAAAGTACTCCATCTCTCCATTGTTTATCCATATTTTCAATTGAACGTCCTCCAACAAGATCCTCAATTTCAGAATTGATCCATCTAAGGAATACTTGTTCGACTGACTGTTTCACAGGATGTGTTGTCAGCTTCTGAGTCTTCTTGGTCGGTGTCAAAAACGATGCGATTCGTTGTCTGAGTGGTGACGACGGTGCCTTTTCCCCGGAGGCAATCGAAGTCTTACTTCCAGACAATGAAGAAGTTTTTGAGCCTTTTTTAGAAAGTGTTGGTGATGGAGAAGTGACGAGAACTTGCGGTTGAGATGTAGATGCAGATTGTTCTGTTGCCGTTGCAGCCCATCCCCATTCACGGAGCAAGATCATGTTGGTTTCGATCTGAAATTTTGGGTCAGTTGAACAGATGCAGTGTTGGCCAAAAAAGAAATTCCCAAATGACCATTTTCAAAAGGAGTGATCAACTCTAGATGTCCGAATAAGTAATTAGTACTTGTTCATGTGGTCTGAAAACACAGACTATATACCTAATTCACAGACTATATATCTAATTCACAGACTATATACCTAATTCACAGACTATATACCTAATGTTGTTATTCAGAAAAAAAATCCCTGGAATTTTCAAAATAAATGGACAAGTGCTGATTCAGGCCCCCGAGTTTGATAATTTTTAATAAAAACGGCCTTTTCGGTCTTTCTAACACCAACAGCTCGAGATTTGATCCTAATTATTTCTAAACTTAACCTAATTGTGCTACAATTTTCAGATATTTCAGGTCGTATCTGTGTCTTATTCTTTATGAATTGAGGTTTTTTGGATGTGAATTCAATAAATTTTGCAAGTATTTCAATTTTGTTTATTAATGAAAATTCTGAGTTCGAAAGTTTTTCAACTACAAAACTCTGAATAAATATTTCAGGGATCTTGAGTGCAAATGTTGTTTCAATCTAAATTACTTAAACAATGTCCACTATTTTCTTCTGTTTTTTAAAGATATTTTTAGATACCATAAACCTGTATTAGAAGGTCCCCCTAACTTGATTTTGAGCCAATTCTGTCAAAAATATAAAAAAGCTGTCAAATTATCCATTGTTTATCATAATTAACACATGTTTCATATCTAGCATAGGAATTGCGATAATTGAGCTCAAATTTGACTTGACAGATGACAGTGTAAGGGCAGTTCTATTACAGGTTTTACGGTGAACAACTTTTGAATTCCCCTATTCTCCTTTCTATTACAATTTATTTTAAACCCTCA